TGGGGGAAAAGGTGCTGGGACTTCACCATTGGAGTGCAACCACATAAAGGAAGGAATTTTACCACAAGATTGTAAATTACAGTCTCCATGGCACACCATAGTTGAAACACAGAAATAAGGTATATCTTCCTTTTCTGTCTCCAGCCTGTCAATCAAGTATTAAAACCTGTGCTGATTTATTTGGAAACATCCCCCTGATGAAAGTGAATTACTAATACGGGAGAGAATTTTGCAGATTACTCTTGGTAAATTCTACATACTATCTGGAAAATTATTAATTCTGCAATAATCATATAGATTACGTGTTCTGGGAAGCCCCCACTCTAATGAAAACATTTTGTTGCCAGCTAGGAAGGTCATTAATTTTACTATTAGATCAGGTCATTTCTGGAGATCAGGTAATTTCCTAAAGATTCAAAGCAACATTGTTCCATTGGAAAGGGTAACCTCATTTTCATGTCACACCAAGTCAAACTAAGGAGAAATTCACTGAAAACAAACGATGCTGCAGTCCAAATAAGGACACTACATTACTACATTACTACATTACACAAGTAAGAAAGCATTGCAATATATAAACTAATTGTGTCTGAATGCTGTTCTTTGTCTTAAAACAAGTTGATATTTCTCTTTGCAGCTCCTAATTCCAATTAATTTTTTACTCGGGTCATTATGAGCTTTACTATTTTCCTATTCCAATTAACATAAAGCTTTTTATTTCATATGACTTTAATGACACAAGGCCCACATCTTTCACAATGTTTCATCATACAGAAATGGGGTATGTTCTGGCCAATGGACCCACAGGTAGCTACTGGAGAATTTCTGTGTTTATTCCTCCTATAAACTGACACAGTGATGTCAGAGAGCATGATACTCACTGAAGAGTATCAGCACCCTGAGGTCCCAAATTTAGGCATGAGCAACAGAACTTTAACAAGCAGATAAGGAAGCCTGGGGAGCAGTTAATGCATACAACAAGAAAGTGAAAAGAAAAACCCCAAAACCAACCAACCACAAAGCAAACACTACAAAAGCTACAAATACACTAAATGACACATTCTTAAAAAAATATTTAGTGGTGCTGAAGGCATAAGCCTTGTCAGAATGATTTTGGAACAACAACTTTGGTTGTTCACAGACTCTATTATTATAAAGACCTTTTCTATTTAATTTTTTAGACATTTGTAGCTATATTTGCCAACGGAATGAGGCTGGAGGTCACACAATGACAGGCTAAAGCTGCACCAAAGGCAGGCAGATGCTCTTAAAACTCTGTCTCACAGTTTCCTTGCTGCCCCTCTGTCCTGAACAGGATCAACCTTGTTATTTTGAGGTGTCTCCAACACACCGACTGCTTGACAACACACCGATCCCACCACCGGCCAAAGTCTTGATTAGGTGCTTAAAGCCCTCCTTTCATTATTCCCCAAGTCTGGCAGCAGTCAGCCTGGAGGCTCTTGTCAAATTTCATGACTTGTCATGACATCCTGCTAGCTGACTGGAACAGATGTCAGGAAGGGAGCTTGTCCCTCACCACGGCCCAGTGGCACCATCACGTGCCCATAAACGCTCTCCCCGTTTGACCTCAGCACGAGCTGCACTGATACTACGTCAGGAAGGAGAATTTCTTCACAGAAAGGATGGGTAAGCATTGGAAGGGGTTGCCCAGGGAGGTGGTGGAGTCCCCACCCCTGGAGGTGTCCAAGGAATGACTGGACGTGGCACTCAGTGCTCTGGGCTGGGGGACAAGGTGGGGATGGGCACAGGTTGGATTGGATGATCTTGGAGTGCTTTTCCAATTTAAATGATTCTGTGATATATTTCAGAAGAGTAAGCCTTTTTTGTGTGCACATGTATCTTCCACGAGACTGGAAGTGCACTGATATTTGCTTTGTTACCTAATGAGAAGTGAATGTCAGCACATGGAGAAGACAGGCTGCTCCAGAGCAGTGTGGATCAAGAACCCCATCGCCACCACCTCCACCAGAACAGGGGTGTTTGCATCATGAGAGTCCAGGGAACAGCCAGCAGAAGTGCCATGTTCTCCTTACGGGGTCCAAACGAAAAAAGCACACAAAAGAGGGATTTGTTTGTGCCATTCAGAGCAGCATTAGGTCCCCTCTGTGTTCAGTGACCCCACCAGATGGGTCACAGTGCACAGCTGCTGGCACACAGCCTTTGCCTGCAGAGCCACTAAGAGCCAAGCAAGAGACCACAGGGTGAATCTCTCTCTTCCCTGAGATCTACATTTTATATGTCCCAGTCCAGCCAAGCCCATTCCTATTTGTACCTCTCTCCCCCTTTGAAATGCTCTGTCTTCCCTTCCACAGCCTTTCCTTCACCCTGTTTGTATACAGATCATTGTCCTATTGTTCATAAAGCACTCAGAGGTGAATGGTATTATATAACTGCTAGTTAAGGCTTTATCATTTTTTTAGAGTGATGGAAAAATGGAAGGGAAATGCAGACTCCCCTTGGGGCCAGGTTAAGCAAACTAAACTTACATTACTGGTGACCCAAATGAACATTCACCTCAGTATCCCCAACATGGAAGAATCCATTTTAGTACCTGCTGTCCCACACAAAATGACAAGCCATTAATAACTATGGCATGTAAGCACGTGTGGGGTGAGAAATCTTCCATGTTGTAGCTCCAAGTCAAAAGACTTTACAAAAAAGTGTGGGTTTGTTGTTCAGTTGGGTTTGTTTGTTTGTTTGTTTTTTTATCTCTTTCCAATTATTTGCTATTCATTAAGCTTATCTTGGTGCTTCTGATATGGCAAAGAGGTTTTATTCAGCTTGCTATTCTTTCCAGGCCAGCTAAGATAAAATCGGTAACAGTCAGGACAGATTTCCTTCTTGTAATGGGCTTAGAATTGGCACATGCAGCCAAAACTCTCTTCCCATTTCATATTTCCCCGGTTCTCTCTTACTCACATACTCTTTTCTGGCAGAAGTTTGCATCATTTAGTGTCTTCTGCACTTCTCTGTATCCCAAGCACGGACACCAGCTGCCTGCTGAGCCCAGTGAAGCTTCTTGATCCTGAAATCTCTTACAGCAAAAGCAGGTTCTCACTGCTGGAAAGTGGAATTACACCCTCACCTGGGCCAAAGCTGCAGTTCTTCATGCAGATAATCCTGGTGCTTGGTTTGCAACTGATCCTGACAGGATCCTGACAGGATCAGTGGATCATGTCAAGAGGACTGCTCTGATGAGTGAGTGGCTGCAGAAACAGGCCCTCTTTGTAGTAACAATCTGGTGTTCCCAACACAGTGTCCTACAGAACCACTTCTTTTCCAACTCACAAACTGTACCACAAACTTACATATGTGCCCCAAAGTCCAAGGAGAAGGCCAAGGTTTCAGCACAGTATGTAGCTCATCTTCAAATAACCACAGAATACCCTGGGTTGGAAGGGACCCACAAAGGATCATTAAAGTCCAACTCCTGATCTCAAAACTCACAGTCTCAAAGATCAGTCCATCAAAAACACCTGCTGAGCACTATGTTACTTTAAGCATGTGCTTAAAGCTGAGCCCACTCTCAGTGCCTTGCTGCATGTTTCTGGTCATGTCACTCAGTGTTTGGCAGCAGTCTCTCTCACTAGAAAGCAAATTCTCTACTGCCTTAAAAGCCAATAGAAATTATGCATTATCTGTAAAGAAGGTGTCAAAGCCGAGTTTGCCTGAACTGTGCTTGATAACTCTTTAGAAAAAACAAGCAAAAAAAATATTTTCAGCCATGTTTTGAGAATAATTGGTTTTCTTTTTATTGGAAAGTTCTGTTGCATTATTATGGCAAAACACAGTATATTCAAACTGAAGGTTGAGGAATGATTTGACAAGTTTGTACAGAACTCTTTGCAGCAGTCAGGGTATTCTGCTTTCACTAGGCTTGGTTTTTGTTGGGACAAACTCTACTCTCAGTTGTGGCAGGGCACATATTAGAGATTAGAAAAATATTCTTCCCTCTGAGGGTGGTGAGGCAGTGGAAGAGGTTGCCCAGAGAAACTGTGGATCCCTGGAAGTGTTGAAGGCCAGGTTGGATGGGGCTCTGAGCAACCTGGTCTAGTGGAAGCTGTCCCTGTCTTGGGGACAAGGTTGACTGGGGGGTGGGAACAAGATGATCTTTAAGGTCCCTTCCAACCCAAGCCATTCTATGATTCTATATGCTAGAATCTGAAGATGAACTTAGCAGCTTGGCTCTCATGGGAAGTTAAAGGCCCTCAGCAGCTTGCAAGACTTAGTCCTATGGTGTCTCTGCAAACATGAAGTAGGGTTTAACAAGCAGCCCTGATAATGTCACAGTTCACTGCCACAGAAGGGTGAGGATTTCACTCCCCCTTGCTTCCCACTTCCCTGCACCACTGACCTCTCCCACCTCTTCCTCTCACTGGCTCTGGCACTCACTTGCTTTCCAACTCACTAATTCGACAGAAAAAGATCTACTTTGTTGTTGCTGCACTGGATTTTCTGTCAGGTGAGTGAGCTCAAGCAGCTCCTGGAAGAGAAGGCAGCGCTTGCACTTCCACAAGGACAGAACCAGTTCAGCGTGAGCAACAAAAGGGCACACAGTGGGAAGGGGAAAACTGAAAAGGAGGGAGGAAGACAAAGTCTTCCCTTTAGATCACCAATGGGCTTTAAGATCGGCTCATCCCACCCCCCATAGCCCTGATCTCTTTTTAACCTACATCAGCTTAGTGTTACTCCACTAAATGCAATAACTACAGTGATGTAATTCAGATCACTAATATCCATATGCAGGGTTCTACTGTTAAACACATTGTCCCTGCTCGGAGGAGCTGACAGTCCAATTCAACACAACATGTAATTGGAAGACCAAATTCTGGATGGCAAAAATGATCAGGAAGCTGGGGGGAGTACTTACAGAAAGACAAAACCAACATTTTATCCTAAAAGACTCACTGAATTGCTTGGTACTTCTTCAGGTGAGTCAGATGGATTTGATCGGTGAAAGCAAATCAAACTACTCACCTGAGCAAAAAGCTTTAAGTTCTTCAGTGATCTAGATCTCAGCATGTGCAACAGGGAATTATAGCACTTCTTTGTTTCATCTTAGATTTAGCCTCCCCAGAGAGCTGATTCTGCACTTCCCTTTGATGCAAAAACTCCCATCAAAGCAAACAGGAGATCTGCCTGAGACTGGAGTGCAGCTGCACGGGACACTTTGCCTGTCAGTCTTGTTGCAGCTTCTCAGCATATTATGGCATCACTTCCCACCTAAATAAACAAATAAACAAGAAACCTACACCTAAAAGTAACGTGAAAGATGCTGTTCTCTATTATCAGATTCAACATCCTTCCTCTCACCCCAGGGGTTTGGGCTGAGCTCTGTATTCATGAAAAATACGACTTGCTTGGCACTTATTTTACTGAATAGGAAGGAAAAAAATACATGATGCATTTGGGCATTACCTTTAGAGGCTACAGGAAGGGGCAGGGAAGCAGCAATTGTGTCTGGCTAAAGAGAATGTCAGAGCGCTGCTCTGCAAAGCTGATTTAAATTTATGGCAGTACATACATCTGAGGTACTTGCATAAATTATAATCCCAACTGAGATTTACTTAGTTATATTAGAAAATTTGTCAGAAACAAACCTGGAGCGTTGACAACCAAGCCTTCTTTTTCTGCTAGTCTTGCTGTGCCACTGTGTGTGTGGGAAAGGCATGGAACATCCTTCAGCAATAAAACAGGAGTCTGAGGGGGAAACAGAGGTGTCCTTTGCAAGAAAAAAGGTAACACAGCTCTTTGAGTTAAAGGAGCAACTTGGTGTCAGTCTTCACTAGCAAACTGTGCCACGCTGATGAAGACAATGAATGTGTCACTCGTCCTTCAACGTCATCTTAACTGTAAAATCCACAGCACTGAGAAGGTTTTGTTTGGAAATAAAAAGCAAACGAGGATGTGTTCTCATGAAAGATGATGCTCTCCATCCCAGTCTGAGATATAAGCCACGCAATGGTTATTGAAGTATCACGGCGTGCCACGTTAGACTCCTCAGGTGCCATCCATTCCCAGTCTGTTATCACTAAAACCAGTGAACTGTGTACACAAGTGGTGTGTGCATACATAAAGGTGACTGATACACGTGCCAAAGTAATCTGGAGCATACAACGAAAACAGTTTTGCAGATATTGCACTGATATTCTACTTTCTTGTTATGTCTGTCCACTCCCTCGTGCTTTTGATCTGTTGTGCACTTGGATAGAAACCAGTAACAGCAGACAAAAAAGATACTTTCAGTCTCAAAAATATAACAAAGGTATAAAACTCTAAAACTACAAAAAAAAAAAAGCTGCACATACTTTCAGGGTGGGGACAGTAAGCACATGACTGAATTATTTAGAAATTCTGAAACAGGAAGGTAATAAAATTATTTATAAAGAAGTATATCTACAATATTTAATAATTTAAGGCTCACAAGAAACTAACATATCAAGACAACAGAAGTTTTCTGCTATAGGGTTCAAAGCACCAAATTCACTTCACATACAGGATAACCGGATCTGTATTGATCACAAGTGGAAAACTCTGAAAGTGCTGATCTGCTAATGTTCCTAGTGCTTTAATGATGTCATATTTCACAGGAATAAGAAATCCCCTCTCAACCATAAATACACTCATACAGATATAAAATATATTGGAATTATTTCAATTTGAAACTACAGTACAAAAGCCCTCAACCTCCCTCCCCCCCCAGTCCATTCATTCTCCACACACACATCCCCCCAACTTTTTAATACTAAACTTGGAGCAACTGAATTGGTTACAAATTACCCATTTAAAACCAACCACCATTTGCTACAGTAAGTTTCTACAACTTAGATTTTTTTACTGTCATAATTTACCAGCTCCTGCATCATGGAGCGTAGCTTATTCTTAGTCTACTTTAAAAATAGGTGACCCTTTGTGTCATGGAAAAAGAACATAAAAACATGTATTCCTGGAGGACTGCTCAGGACAGTGATCAGTTTAGAAAATACAGCCTGACTTAAAAAACTAATTGGTACTAAAAGAATAATTATAGTAGCAAGTTTCTGACACCAGTAAATCTTTCTACATCTCTGAACTCTAACTCTCTCCTCTCCTTACAGGTCTGTTTCCCTATTGGTGTCCAGACAGAGAGCATAGAGGGATTTTCTGAGATCTACATTGCTCTTCGCCTTGATAGTGGCTTTTTCTATGGAGCTGGTGCCATTGTTGAACTCCTCACTGTTTTCCAAGTGCACAACAGATTTGTTCAGAGAGTTTGTACTGGGTCTTCTCTTCGCATCTGCCCCCGCTGTGCTGCCCTGAGCACTACTGTGCTCATCTTTGAGGATAGATTGCTCTTCGTGATCAGTCTCTCGGTGGTAGAAGTAGTTGAAGTTGGACACAATGACAGGGACGGGGAGGGCGATGGTGAGCACACCTGCAATGGCACACAAGGAGCCCACAATCTTGCCCCCCACAGTGACAGGTCTCATGTCCCCGTAGCCCACAGTAGTCATGGTTACCACTGCCCACCAGAAAGCATCAGGGATGCTGGAGAAATGAGACTCGGGGTCATCGGCCTCAGCAAAGTAGACAGCGCTGGAGAAGAGGATCACCCCGATGAAGAGGAAGAAGATGAGGAGGCCCAGCTCCCTCATGCTGGCTTTCAAAGTCTGTCCCAAGATCTGAAGCCCCTTGGAGTGTCTGGAGAGCTTGAAGATCCTGAAGACTCTGACCAGACGGATGACCCTGAGGATGGCCAGGGACATGGCTTGCTGCTGGCCCCCTCCCCCATTGCTGCTGCCAGCCCCAGGCTGCTGCTGCTCGTGGGCCAGCTCGGTGCCCAGGGTGATGAAGTAGGGGATGATGGCCACGATGTCGATGATGTTCATGATGTTGCGGGAGAACTCGGGCTTGCTGGGGCAGGCGAAGAAGCGCACGAGGAGCTCGAAGGTGAACCAGATCACGCAAGTGGTCTCGATGATGAAGAAGGGGTCAGCCAGGCTGCTGGGGGGCTGCATGGGTGGGGAGTCCCCGGTGGTGCCATTCAAACCTCCACCTTGTGGGGGCAGGGGCACAGGCAACTCCCTCTCGTCCCTGAACTCGGGCAAGGTCTCCAGGCAGAAAGTGATGATGGAGATGAGGATGACCAGCACGGAGACGATGGCGATGGCCCGGGCTGAGCTGGAGCTTTCGGGGTACTCAAAGATGAGCCAGACCTGGCGCTGGAACTCATTGCGGGGCAGGGGCTTCTCCTCCTCTTTGATGAAGCCCTCGTCCTCCCGGAAGCGCTCCATGGCCTCCTCACCCAGCTGGTAGAAGCGGATCTCGTCGGCGAAGACATCGATGGAGACATTGACGGGCCGTCGGAGCTTTCCCCCGGACTGGTAGAAGTATAGGATGCCGTCAAAGCTGGGCCGGTTGCGGTCGAAGAAGTACTCGTTGCGGAGCGGGTCGAAGTAGCGGATGCGCTTGTCCGGGTCCCCCAGCAGCGTGTCGGGGAACTGATTGAGGGTGCCCAGCTGGGTCTCGAAGCGCAGCCCGGAGATGTTGATCAGCACCCGCTGGTGGTGCATGGCGCCCGGGTTCACCGCCGGGCCGCCGCCAGGCCGCCCCTTCCGGTCGGCTCCCGCCGCTGCCATGGCCCATGCCCGCGGGTGTCCCCCTTCCTCCGGGGGTCGCCACGTCCGCGCCGGGCGCCGGGCGCGGGGCGGCGGCCGGGGCGCGCGGGGGTGCGCGGTCCCTCCGCCGCGCCGCTCTTGCGGGCCGCTCCGCGGGACCCGCGGGCCGTCTCCGGCTTCCTCGTCCCTCGCGGGGCCGCTCGGCTCCTCGTCCCCCGCGGCGGTGGCATCGGCCGGCGGCGGCGGGCGGCGGGGCTCCCTCCTTGCCGTCGCTCAGCTGCGGCCGAGCCGTCATGTGTAGCCAAGTTGCCCCCGCCCAGCGTGCCCGCCGGCCGTGCGGCCCGCGGCACTCTCTCGCCACCCGCGATGGCGTGGTGCCGGCCGTTCTCCAGAGTCACCAGCGCGATCTCTCATGGGGCAGCAGCGGCAGCCGAGCACAGCTGGCGGCGGGAGCAGGCGCGTCTGAGGCGGATCGGGCAATTGCTGCGACTCTGCCCGGGCCCCGCTGCCGCCGCCGCCGGGCCACCTCCGGGCGGCCGCCCTGCCCTGCCCTGCCCTGCCCTGCCCGCATGCCTTTGCCCTGCCCATGCCGACACCGCCTCGCCCTCACTCTGAGCCGGCCGGAGCGCGGCCGAGCGCGGCCCGGGGGAGCCGCCCGGGGACCCGGATATGAACGAGCGGATCATATATTATGGGCGCTTGACGTCCAAAGAGGATCCCTCCTGCTCCGCCCCCCCGTGCAGGCAGCGCAAGCATCCCTCGGGGACAATCAGGATGCCGCGCTATTCCTATCCACCGCGCACCCGCCCCGCCCACTGCCAAAAGGGATCCGCGTCGAGGCGCGAATGAGCTCTGGGAGCGGGTCCCAGCCGTGGGATTCCCACACGTGCCCCTGGGGATGCCCACAGGTTCGGCGGCGCGGAGCGCTCCGGGATGCCGGGAGGGCGGAGCGCCGCGGGTACTGTGCCCGGGCAGGGGGGCCTGAGCTCGCCCTCCGCCCCCCGGGGCTCCCGCACGCTCCCCCAGCCCTCGCCCCCGCCGCGCCCGGGGATTACGGAGCGGCCCCCCACGCGTGGATTTGCTCGCTAAAGGGATTGCGCGCAGCTGCAAACCCCCACTCACCTCTAATGAAAATCAGAACCGACAGCCCCGGGGATTCCTGGCGCCTCTTGGCGTGTATCTGCCCCCGCGCTTTTCCCAGTGGAATGAGAACAAAGGAAGGGATTGGGTATTTTTATTTAGATTTGCAGTTGCTCTCCCCCTCTCCTCCTCCCCTCGGTTTCTCATGGAATTAGTGCAGCTCCAAAAGGTGCTTCCCACGCCAGCAGACAACATTTCTACCTTTATGTGAGCGTTTGCAAACGGGGCTATTCTTTCCCTCTGATGCATTCTTAAACCCATATCCAAGTCTGAAACATTTCAGTAGATGCACATTTTATTAGAGAAAAGGAATCGAAGGAGCTTTGCACAATGACTTCAGTTACAGTTCAGTAATACAGTCCATGCTAAAATCTCACTTTCTGTATTCAAACCATGAAATCATTCATTCTATTCAAGGTCTACCGGTGAATATACTAAATATGTATATAAATACTGTAGGTTGAGAACCTATCTGTATATACACCACTACACTCCTGTGGCGTTTCTGGGTTTCTAACAAAATCGAGTGTAAATACAAAATTAAGTGAAAAACCGTTTTGCTTTCCAGTTGGCATCACTGCAGAGACATTTTTCCTGAATCCTTATGGTAGTATTCATAGCTCCATCAAGCAGTTTACATAGATTCACCGTGTGTAGTGGTTTTCCCTTAATTTAAAACATTACCTCTGTGTATTAAATGTGCCCAAAGATATTAAAGGCAGTGCCAAAATAGAAAACCATAATCGCATTAAATAGTTTCTTTAAGTGGTGATTTGCCCATGTTCTGTAATTTACCTCTGAGAACTGAGTGCAGAATCACTGACCTGTTTTGCCACCGTGCCAGTGAAGTAAAGGACCTCTTTACTCACACAAGTAATTCCTAGAAGCAAAATTACAGATAAGTTTCTAGAGCAGCCTCTTTGAAAAGAACAGCCCTCTGATTTAAAGCTATTTAATGGAATAATGTATCAAATTTGCAAAATGTAGTATAACAGCCCTTGGGACTAGCAAAGTCCACAATAAATACAGACACACCATAAACACACCTGTGCACTCCAACAAGTAGTAGCTGATCTGTTGCCAAGGCATGTCAGGGATTATAACCAGAGAAGGGCTTCCACACTGGAAAATTAATCTGGTTTTCCAGCTCTGTCAGCTGCTTTAATGCAAGGCATTCTCCCTCCAAACATTGCCTCAGGAATAATAATATTTCAAGAGGAAACATCCCCAGACATTTGTGATGATGGGCACCACAGAGAGCACAATAAAGTGCACAGAGGGCTGGTAAACTTGCTGCCTCTCAAATGGTTGTATCCATTCTGTCATTCCTTCATCAGTAATAGGGAATGCCTGGGAGAGATTACGCTGAATTTAAATTCTCCCTTCAAACCAGGTTTCTAGCCTTCCTAAATACTTCATTGTGGTGTTCACATCCTGAATTTGCAGGCAGATGGGATTATGCTAAAGTGCAGAGAAAGACTTGCCCAAATTCATCAGGATGAAAGCCTCACAGAAAACCCTATGAAGAAAACGTATGTTATTAATTGATATCTCAGGAAAATATAGCTTCTTGTATAACGTTTGAGTAACTTGTGACTATTTTGCAGCTTTACCAGTTCTGAGAATTTAGTATGGTATCTGCAGATGTGGGTACAAAGGAAGTAGGGAGAAAAGGGTGAAGAAAAAGGGGGAGGATGATGTTAAAGGGGAAGAAACATCTGCTCCAAGCAGGGAGTTTTAAAGGGCAATTTTTGTTTAATAGACTTCATTTTTTGAGTTTGATGTAAACACCCCAAACTCTTTCTTGAAGAGCAGTCCTACCAGCAGAAAGCCAAGATACTAGAGGGAAAAATTGACATGCAGAATAGGGAAACATATCAAGTGCTGAGATGTGCTGTTAATGTTTTAATTAGGCACTCCCTGATAAAGACTTTATTTGTCCCCATGCTTGTGATTTAGCCAAAAGTACTTCTACCCTGAGCACCTGCACACATGAAATCAGTCCCCAACCCTCCACACACCCACACCAAAATTTAGCATTCTCTCCACCTCCCACTGCCACTCAGATCTCCTAATCCAGTTATAACACCTGTGACTGGGATGTTGCTTTTCCCCCCTCATCTTTTCCACACGATGGCATTAGTGACTCATCCCACAGCCTCATTTGCAGGTTTTCTCCTGAGGCTGGAAAAGTGGGACTCACCTGGCTAGGCAGCATCAAGGTGCAGCCTAAATCCAATTCTTTTAAGATTCCCTACTTTACCAACTAACACCTAGGAAAGGCTCATACAAGTTTTGCAGAAGAAATGCTGCCCAAGCCAGAGATTCTCTTTCACCTAAAGGCAGGCTGTACCCACAACACTACCTTGCCAACACTTCCATGGGGAGAAAACAAGGATCACATCCTTACGCCCAGCAGAGCCATCATGTCAGGGACGTGAAAAATATGTGCTTATGGCACAGGTTGCCCAGAGAAGCTGTGGCTGCCCCATCCCTGGAAGTGTCCAAGGCTAGGCTGGATGGGGCTCTGAGCAGCCTGGGCTAGTGGAAGGTGTCCCTGCCCATGGCAGGGGGTTGGAACAAGATGGTCTTTAAGGTCCCCTTCCAATCCAGGCCATTCTGTGATGCTGTGATTCTACCTACCCACACCCAAACACACCCACACACACACTGCACACCCTCTGGTGCACCTGACTAAGGACACCTTAGGGTCAAACAGTCTTTTCACAGATACTCCCTCTTGGGCCATCCCTATGACTGACAGTGACTAGCAGCATCACAAAAATAAATACAAAATGCTGAGATGTGGAGAGATGCACACCAGCCTCAAGGCTTAATCTGCCCACAGCCCCCTTGCTTCTCTGTGGCAGTGGGGCTCCGTGTGTCTCCCCACAGGAGACAGGGACCCCACCAATGTGCCTCATGGGGTGACTCCTTTTTTTTTCCTTCTCCATGTGTTGACTAAATAACAGTGCCATTGTGGCAGATGGTGAGGAAATCATGTGAAGCCGAGAAGACACCGAAGGGGTTAAAGGCAAATCCGTGCCCCGCCACTTGGTTAATTCCTCGCAGCCTGATCCTGTGTTGAGATGATTCAGGCCAGAGAGAGAGACTGCCACAGTCCCCAGGAGAGACCCCAGGGAAAAGACTCGTATTTCCTGTTCAGGAGGATTAAAAACAAGGCCATTGAAAAAATCACAGTAAACATCTGGATGTGAGCACTCCATCTATCAAGCCCTAATCCATGAAGTTATTCATTAATGAATTCAGCAAATTCACACTGTTCTATATATAGGGTTGTTGGCTAGTAGGTGTTTTACATCTATACCAACAGATTTTTATTTTTTGTACAAAGCAATCTGCTGTATTCTGCTTTTGTTTGATTAATTGTTTAGAATAATTCTTTCGCCTTTAAAAAAAAAAACCACACACCACCATATTTTCTGATAATATATAAAAATCCAATAGTTAAAACCCAACCACGTTCCTGCCTTTGCTTTGCAATTTTAAGCCCAGGTTCCTCTGGAAACTTTCCATCACACGGGGATGGAAAAAACATTAAATAATAATTGATTTTCTTTTCTGTATTTTGATTAAAATGAGAATCCCTCTCATTTATCTTCAGACAGAAAGTAAGCATTGAGTAAACGGTCTGGTTAATTCAAAAGTAATTTGATCACAACATCCATAATTTACATTGACTGGAACAGCAGGAAAGATGCTGAGCACTAGCAGATATCAAGCTTATTCATTTAAACAGACTACTTCCATTATGCTTTACATCTTGTTCGTGTAAACTATTCTAAGAACTATAATGACCCACATTTTATAAGGGGGAGACTTACACACAACTCTGCCCTTAAATGTCATGTTAAGCTTGAGTAACACCCCAGCCTGCTCACTGCAAACCAGGCCGTGGAGCTGAGCATGTTGTTTTCCACACAGCTGTGCCAGCTTGTTTCCAGAGAATTCTGCAGTGGAATCAGCATTTGGCCAAGAGGTTTGTACAAATCCAGCTGCGACAGGATATTTTCAACTCATCCTCAAAGCTTTGGACTCTGCCAGGCAGCATGAGCTACCCAAACTTGCAATTTCTAATTCCCAGCCCTTTCGACTTCCAGTGCTTTGCTGTGGTGTAATCTTAAACTCCAGGGACTTGATCTTAGAGGGGAAATCCCATTCTGTGCCTTTATTTTCTGCTAAATCCAGGGGCACATACCCGTACTCTCAAGTTTTTGCTCTTGTTACAACAGAATGGCCCAGGTGGACAGTTCCAACTGTGACAACACAGTTTAAGACAGAATGAAGACAAGTAAGTGAACTCTGAAGGAATAAAGTATCAAGACCTGCAGAGCCACTCAGATACACCAATCCAATTTTATCTTCCCTGCTAGTGCAAATACTCTCAGAAGTGAATTTTGCTTGCATCAATGCTTCTGTGAGGATTGTACTCCACACCAATGCCTATTCCTCTGTGGTGTTTCTGGGCAGACTTAATCCCTCCTTATCAATCAACTGAAAATACTTCATTTTCATCCTATGCCAT